TCTTTCTTTCTTTCTTTCTTTCTTTCTTTCTTTCTTTCTTTCTTTCTTTCTTTCTTTCTTTCTTTCTTTCTTTCTTTCTTTCTTTCTTTCTTTCTTTCTTTCTTTCTTTCTTTCTTTCGACACTTTAAAAGATGTGCTTACAATTGTCTTGCTTCAGTATCAATTCCAGATGCATAAGTGGAGTAGGATGCCTCCTGCCATAGATAGGACAAAGAGTTTTTCCTGAGAAGGGGAGAGGGGAAACTTGTCATAGCCAGACCAGACATAAGGAAATGATTTTTAACACTGCAGATTTTAGTCTTGGGAAGACAGTCAGATTGGCTGGGGAAACTGGTGCAGGCAAGAGGTGTCTAGCAAGAAGAGGTTAGGTAAAACGATATCTTACATAATTTCCTGTATGTTTTATTATATCCAGTGAACATGGGGTCTACATTGCAACTTGCTAAAATGGCTGGAGCATCCTGGGGGTAGGCTTTGCCTAGGACTTCTTTTAAGTCTTTTTTTGTAAGATGTCTCACAAGATTTACGTAAAATGCAGAGTCTCACAAAGGCTGGGAAATATTAGCCATTGCAATATCTTCCTTCCTTCCTACCACTAGCAGTGTTCCAGGAGTTCTGAATGGAACCATCTTGCTGGTCTTATGCTGTCTCTCTGCAGGTAGAGAGGCAGCATAAGACCACACAGGTAACACCACTTGGTCATGGTGCTGGACTAGGACTCAGGTGACCTGGGTTCAAATCCCAACTTAGCTGTGAGATCTGCTGGGTCAGGGATGCATGTATGGTTCAGAAACTTGTGGCCAGAAAGACAGGGATAGTGTTGAACATAGGCACGGTTGGCCACCTGTCCAGGGCCCACATCCTAGTAGGGTTCCCACTGGCAAGAATCACACAGATGTGCTTCTTTTCTTCAACTTCTGCTTTGTTATTCAAGCCTCTTGTGCTGTGACCCAGTCAAATTTGACAGTGAAAACGAGCAGCAGCAGGAAAACAGGTCCTATGAGGAAAGACTGAAAGAATTGGATATATGGGGGGGGAGGGGGAAGAGATGTGATAGCATTTTTTCAGGTATTTGAAAGATAGTCATATAGAGCAAAGGCATGGTTCTGTTCTCTGTCATCCCAGACTGAAAGACACATAAATAATGGGCTCAAGTTGCAGGAAGCCAGATTTCGACCAAATATCAAGAAAAACGTCCTAGCTGTTGTAGCTGTACAACAATGGAATCAGTTACCTCGGGAGGTGGTGAGTGCTCCAGCTCTGGAGGCATTCACAAGAAAATTGGACAACTATCTGTCAGATCTACTTTGTTTTGGATTTCTTCACTGAGCAGGGGGTTGGATTCAATGTCTTTTTGGTCCCTTCCAACTCCATTATTCTATGATTCTAAATGCCATTCCGTGATTGCTTACTGTTTCTGTGCCCGTAAAAGAAGCAAGGGATGTTAATGAAAGTGAAGGGAGCTCAAGAACAATTGGTGTAAATGTTTGTTAAAGAACCTGTACCTGATGAAAATCTCTTTTTATAAGAAGGATGCCAGAAAACTGGGGCAAGTTCAGAAGAGGGCAACAAGAAAGATCAGAGACTGGAATCCAAGTCCTATGAGGAAAGACAGAAAGAACTGGACATATTTAGCCCTGAGAAGAGAATACTGAAGGGAGTAATGATAGCACTTTCAAATATGTAAAATCTAGTCATATAGAGGACCAAGATCTGTTCTTTATCATCCCAAAGTGTACGACACATGATGAGCTAAAGTGACAGGAAGGCAGATTTAGGCTGAATATCAGGAAAAATGCCTTAACCGTTAGAGCAGTACAACAATACAACCAATTACTTTGGGAGGTGGTGAGCACTCCAGTGCTGGAGGCATTCAAAGTAATATAGTCTGATCTGGTTTGATTTGTATTCCCACACTGAGCAGGGTGTTGGACTCAATGGCCTTATAGGCTCAATTATTATATGATTGTATACAGTGGACCCTCTACTTACGGAATTCATCTGTATTGGAACGGTGGCTGCAGGTCGGAAAGTCTGTAGGCCGAGTCTCCATTGACCTACATTTAAAACCAATTAATCCGTAACCGGCCGTTTTTGTCCTGTTTTTGTTCCATTTTGGTTTTTTCAGGTCTGTAGGTCAATTCTCTGGCTGCAAGTCAAACCAAAATTTTGCAGCCAGAGAAGTCTGTAACTCGAAAAGTCTGTAAGTCGAGCCGTCTGTAAGTCGAGGGTCCACTGTTAAAGGTTCAGGGGCTTAAATGTTCTCTTTTTCTTGTGGCCACCCTATATTTTTTGCCTCTTATTCCTTTCCCTGACACTTACAACAAGGTGGTTTTTGAGACATATGTGTGGAGTTGAAGTGACACTCCGTTGTCTTGCTTATCCAAAGGGCAGCCTGGAAATAACAACTGGTCTTTCTGGCATGGCAGAGTCTCAGATCACATTGTGGGCTCTGGCTTTGGAAGGAGATATTGAGCAGTACTGTCCGCTTTGTGATGTAGTGTGAAGAGATGTGCACTGTAATGGTGTGCCGTTGACACTGCAGGATAGTTAAGAGTGGTTGTTGTAGGTTTTTCAGGCTGTTTGGCTGTGTTCTGGAGGTTTTTCTTCCTAACGTTTCGCCAGTCTCTGGCATCTTCAGAGGACAGGAGCTAGAACTCTGTCTGTGAGGAAGAAAAACCTCCAGAACATGGCGAAACAGTCCAAAAAACCTACAACAACCATCGGATTCCGGCCATGAAAGCCTTCAAGAATACATAGTTAAGATTCTTGCTTTTTCTTTTGCAAATCCTCGGCGGCCCATGCTACCTTTGGAAAAAAAATATGAAAATCCTCTCCCTCTCCATTTCAAACTTTTACATCCATATAATTTCATTTAAATTCTGATATCCTGTAATCACAAACAAACTAAAAAATTAATAAATCAAGGAAGCAGTTCAAATGACTTGGTATTATTGCATGTTTTGTGCTAATACAACACAAGAGTGTGCTATGAAAACAACAAAAGAGTGTGCTATGAAATGAGTAAGTATATTTTCCAAACTCAAAAATAAATGGTAACATTGAATGTGAGAGGGTTTTTTTCCAGCTTGCAGATATTATCCCTTAAATCTTGATATCTCCTAAAACTCCGCTTCCTATTTGGGGGCTTGGGAGACACTGTTTCAATCCTATTTTTTGAATGCATTACTTGTGTTGCACTGTTTGCTGAGCTACCAGCCCTGCCTGGGAACACCTGAACAAAGATCTATTTGTAGTAGTTACCCTGATGCATTTTTAACCAAAGACTCCGTCTTAATGTCAAGCTTAGTCCTATTTTGCTTTTTAGTTCCAGATGCAGATAGAAATCTAACAATACGCTTTAATCCTTCCCTGTAGCAACTTTGGTGTTTCAATCATAGCTTTATAATCCTTCTAAGCAGGAAGGGAAAAAGAAAGAGGGAAAAGATTTTGATGAATTTTTAACTATAGCAGTTTTACTATTATTCTAGTCCTGACCACCCAGCAGGCTAAGGCAATAAGTTCCAACCAGTCCAGCCAATACACCATTGCAAAGCTGTCATTTCATATCTGGCCTGCCCTTAAACCATTCCCCCAACCACTCACTGCAGCTTCTTAACCCGAACTGTACATTTTCTTGTTATTGCAAGTGAAAGCACCAAAAGGAACTTCTTGTCATACATATCAAATCATGTCTTTATAGTTTGTTTGACAGTTCTCCGTGCTCACAGAGCTGTTGGCACAGAACATCTCCAAACATAGCTGTTCATTTGGTAAAGGCTTTTGCTCATTTCTTTCCTGACCTCCTTAACCTTTCATCCTGCATCAGCTCAAAGTTTTGTTTCTTTTTCTGAAGAAATATTGTGCAGCCATCCACTGATTTCCAGGGGCGAAAAATCTAGTAAGCACATAGTACATCTTCAGGACCTTGAAGTTTTTTTCAGCTGTTTTGTTGTGCTCTCAAGTAAGGTCCTCCTAAAGCAGAAACCTGTAGCCTTTTAGAAGTTGTTGGGATGTATGATATGTTAACAATGTTGAGAATATGTCAGGATATCTACACATCATTTCTCAAAAGAGTCCTGTGAACAATAATTACACATTCATCCCTAGAACACTTACAGAATCTTTCCCAGAAGTATTATATGAATAGGTTTTTCATATATATTATATGTGCTTTTGAGTTTTGGTGGTACAAATGACACCTTCAACAGAATGTTGTAATGTGCTGTGCCACCTTCATTATTCTAGCTAATTATGCTCCTTTTTACGATGCTCCCTATCATTTCCCCACAATGAGAACCCATATTACTTTTATTTCTCCCTCCTCCTATTATAGTTCCTGAATTTCTGCAGAACATGCGTCTTCCCAGACAGAACACAAATTTTCCCAGCCTTTCTATCCTGTGTGCCATTTTGAATTCTTCCTATTTGTTCAGCACTGGGAGAAAGTAGTTGGAGAAGGGAATGGAATTGTAAGTCTTTTGTTAGCCCCCCCCCCCTATTCTCAGCACAGGGTAGGGAATCAGCCTTGATAAATTCACTGTCGCCCAATTTTAAGCCATAGTTGTGCACATTATTATTTTAAAAAAGAATTGCTGAATAGCTTAGCAGTTTAGGTATCTGGCCGAGGAGCCAGAGGTTTGTAGTTTGATTCCTCGATTTGATAAAGTCCCTTCCGGTTATGAAGTTCTAAGATGATGATGATTATATACCATTTTACAGTGAGGGGAAACAATTGTTGTTTTCCCAGGACCTTTCTTCATTATTGTCACATTTTATTTTCTGTCTCCGGACTTTATTCCATTTCTTTCCACTGAACTTTTAAACTGACCATACACTGCTAAACCAATTTCAGAATCTTTTGAGCATCAGATTTCCCACCCCAATACTGTCAATCCCCCCACATGTGTTTCTTCACTTTAAGCTTGAATTTTGCTATATGTAGAGATGTAGATCTATGTAAATTGTAGTGATTATCTTCAAATATGCATCTATAGACATAATATTAGCTTGTGTAGATATTATACAGAGCCAAGCCGTGTACTCTATTGTCCTGTTTTTGCTTTGTTTTGTTTTTGGTAATGGTCTGCCTTTCCTTCCTCTCTTCCTCCCTCCCTCTCTTATTACATGTTAATGGCTGCCTAATGTGATTCCCACAGTCTTTTCCTGGTCTCTATACCATGCTTAAGAGATTTGTCCTTCCTTTGGATCCTCTTCTGATGGCTGGATAGCTCAGTGGTTTAGGTTTAGGTTACAGAGCTAGAGGTTGGGAGTTTGATTCCCCACTGTGCCTCCAGGGAAAAGAGCCAGCTTATGAGGTTTTGGACAAGTTGCACAGTTCCAAGACACCCCCAGAAGAAGGGAATGGTAAATTGCTTCTGAGTATTCTCTGCCTGGAAAACCCTGAAAAGGGTCACCATAAATCACAGCACAGGATTATAATCCTCTTCAGGATTTCTAGTCTCACATTGTGATGGGACAAGTGGAGATAAACCCATTGTTGTACTGTATCATGTATTAATTGCCGGCTTTCACTGCTTACACAGGCTCCCCATAGGATTTATAGCCTGGGAAGAGCAGAATGCTTTTATTTTGGGTAGTTTTATTGTTGCTAAAACAGACTTAACACAGCTCTGAAAACCTGTTTATGTCTTTTTTTTTTTCCTGCTAGCACAACTCCAAACATTTCAACCTGCCTAAGTTAGATTTCCATCTAAAAAAGTCTGGACTTAAGTGCCAGAAAACTTCCTAGTTATTTATATTAATGTGTATGATGCGTTCCTGCCACGATGGCTATTAAAACAAATTTAAGCAGTACTAGAACGCCAATAAAATAAAAATTCAATATTAACATGATAATATAAAACAGGAGCCCATTTAAAAAATACAGTAGCACAAAATAATAAAATAACAAAGGAGAAAGTCAATACTGTAACATTTAAAAGGTCATCACTTCCAGAAGAGTAACTTTCAAAAATACAATCAAGCAGCATTCATGGATCAAATAAAAATTCCTGTACAACAGATCTGGCAAACTTATAAATCTAGATGTTTTGCAAATTCTGTTCACTCTCTCTTGTGTAAGGAAGCAGAAATTGGTTTGAAATTATTTCCTTTATATACCTCTAAATCAAGTCAAAATTGTTTCTTTCAATTTTCTTTTGAACTCGCTACCAATGTCTTAGAGAAGTCATCCCTTCCTAAAAACTCAGGCTAAAAATATGGTGCCTGAGGCCCAGTAATTGAACGCATAGATGCTGCTTTTGATAAGCATGAAACATACACAAGTGGGAAGAATTACAGCTATTTTATTGAACACAGATTTCCTTTGCATTGCTGTGCCTTCAGAAATCCTTTCGTGCTTTGTCTGGATTTTGCACAGTTTTGGAATGAGCGCTACTCATGTTGGCAAGTAGCCAGAGTCCCTAAAGGCACTGACAGTATCTCATTCATCAAATTTTATTTCTTTCTCTACCAATTTTCTCTTTCTTAGTCCTTTTTATTCTTTCATTCACTGTAGCACACAGTTGCAAACTTTCCAGATTTGAACTTTGATGTGTGTGTCACATCACTGCATTGCAGATGTTTGTACAGCTTTAGGTGAAATTGTACCAAATAAGAAACATGGGGTTTCTATCTCCACCCTTGCAACATAAGCTACAACTTATCGCATTTGCATTTTGGACTCCCACCTTGCATTTCATCATCATAACTGCTCTGTGAAGTGGGTTAAGCCAAAATAGAGGAGCTGGCCTTATCCAGGAAGCATTGTGGCTGAGCATGCGTTTGAACCCAGGTCTCCAATTTTCCCCCATATCTTAATATACTATGTTGCACCGACTTTCATGTTGGCATATATTGCTTTGCAGAGATAGGCACTTTGGGGTCCATTTACATCTTTCATGCTTTGTCTTCTTGCCCAAAGGAAGCAGGGAGCTAATTGCATTTGTTTTTCTGCTTCTCTCTATAGTGAGTTTGTATCTTGGCTCATAGAAATTGGAGAGATAAGCAAACCAGAGGAAGGAGTCAACCTGGGACAAGCTCTGTTGGAGAACGGCATCATTCATCATGGTGAGTGATCGGCAGTGCAGCAGAAAATGTTGTTGGGTGGAGTCCTGAGGGAAGTACCAGGGAATGGTGCTACTTTTCTTGTTTATTTGCTTGTTTATGTTAAAAGAGTACTATTGAAAAAGAACACTGAATTTCAAAATTTGAAATTTGAATAATTTGGGAGTCTTTTATAAATGATACAGTAGACAAATGGCCTGCAGGCTTTGTTTTTACATAGGTTATGGAGAGATACCCATTAAGAGTAGGTAGGTGGCCACAACTCTGAATGTTGAATACTATAACATACATTATTGAATGAAAATGTAACTGCGTAGCTACTGAAGAACCCTGAAGCTCCCTGTGAAAGCACCACAGAAAGACAGTGGTAATGTGTCCATTTAAAGGACCTAGAAAGCAGTAGAATCTATAGGAAGTTGTCAAACTATTGGCCATTGATCCTGATATTGTCCATTCCACTGAAATCGCTGTTTAGCGAAATCATTGTCTAGTGAAAAGCATTTCCCTATTGGAACGCATTGAAACCTGTTTAATGCGTTCCAATGGGGAAGACTCGTCGTTGTTGAGCGAAGATCGGCCATAGGAAAGCCGCTTTGCGAACCGCCAATCAGCTGTTTAAACCGCTGTCTTGTGAAGCTTAGGTCCTGAAAACACCTGTTTGCGAGCGCGGAGGGAGCTGTCAAAATCGTTGTCTAGCGAAAATCGGTTTGCGAAGCAGGGCCCAAACATTGTCCAGCGAAATTCCCCCATAGGAATCACTGTTTTGCGATTGCAAAAAGCGATTGCAAAAAGCCAATGTCTAGCGAAAAAACTGTCATGCGGGGTAATTGTCTAGTGAGGCACCACTGTAAATAGGTACCACCTCGGTGGTAAGGAAATGGTGTTCCGTGTCTACACACTTTTATTGTTACAGCATCGAGCCATATAAATAAAACAAAATTAAATGCAGAGCTTCAAGTACTGACATATACTACAAAAAGCCAAGTCAAATAAGCAAAAGACACTAAAACTACAAATATGACAATGTAAGACCAATGTCTAAGTTTGGCTATCTATTCTGCCTACTATGGCATGCCGCCCAAAATTTTGCTACCAGTTCTGTAGTAATCCGATTTTGATCAATTAACAATTGGTTACAGTAGTCCGAGTCTGACTGGCTTTTCCTGTCTTTTAAGAGGGGTGTAATATATTTTCCTCGAATCTTGTTATGCCTGTTACATCTGAGCATCAAGTGCTCAATGGATTCTATCTCACCAGATCCACAAGGGCAGAGTCTCTGTTCCCTCGGGATCTTCTTAAACTTGCCTTCCAGGTCTGCTGAGGGAAAGGCCTCACATCTAGCCATAGTAAAGGCTTTCTTAAACTTATATGTTCCGTGTCTAGTCGCGCTGGCCACGTGACCACGGAAACTGTCTTCGAACAAATGCTGGCTCTATGGCTTGGAAACAGGAATGAGCACTGCGCCATAGAGTCAGACGCGAGTGGACTAAATGTCAAGGGAAACCTTTACCTTTATTTATATTTCTGCTAATGCTGCTATTAATTAAAAAAAAGTACTGGTCTTCCGCCGCCTAACCGTCATTCAGGAGCAAAATAAATAAATAACTTTCACACCAATTAGACTTTTTAAAAAATTGGATATTTTGCTGTGTCAATTTGTCAAGGATAAGAAAATAATTAGGTAGTCCCTACCTCCTTAATGCCAGGCCAAGATCATTCCCATCCCTTGTTCCATGACCATTTTCTGAAAAGACACTAGTATTTATTTATTTATTTATTTATTTTATTTATATCCCGCCTATCTAGTCGGTTGACCACTCTAGGCGGCTCACAACAAAGGGGACAGCAATAATAAAAAACAGTATTTGAATCTGTGACTTTGTGTATATAAATCATGTGCTTCGCTCTGGTCACTCTTTCCTTTCAGGCACTGAATTGTACTCAGTGGGGGGTGGATGGCTCTGCCTTACTGGAGAATGCTTCTTCAGTGTGGGGTGTCTCATCCTTCCCCCAAAATTGCCACCGAGGTTTGGAGAACCTTATGGACTAGAATGGCAAATGGCCGAGAGAGCTCCGATAGATAGGACAGTCTGGTGAACATGGGGCCTTCCATTCAAAATGTGTGAAGGACTTTCAGTTAAGACAGGACTGGGCAATGTCTGAATGTGTGGGGAGCATTTTTACTGTGTGTGTGTGTGTGTGTGTGTGTGTGTGCGTGTGCGTGTGCGTGTGCGTGTGCGTGTGCGTGTGTGCCCGTGCGTGCGTGTGTGCCCACACATGCTGCTTGATCAGGGCTGGGAGTCACTTTTCGGTGCTTGACATAAAGGACTGCAGAAACTCTCTCAAATGCAAAGACAGAGCAGGAACAGCAGCAAGAAGAAGTAGAAGAGCAATAACAACAAAAACAGAAGTGATGCAAAATCCACTTTCAGTTTTGAAAAACAGATATTCTTGGTGTTCAACAGTGTAGGAGTAAATTTTAATTGGAAGCTTCTATGATTATGATTTTTTAAAAAATAGGAAAAAAGAGAGGGATGGGAGACGACTGGTAGGACACAAAAATACCTCTCCGACCACAGGAGAGACCAGGAACATACCATGGCCACCTTTCAAATTAACCTATTTTGTAAGTTCTTTGAAAAATATGAGGCCTCTTCTTTTGCCTTCTTTGATCCTTGGAAGTGGAGGATATCCCTGCATGCCTGATATTGTACAGGAATATGCAAGATAAGCTGTTGATCGTGATTCTGATGATTCAGTTTCAGATAAACACCACTTCAAGAATGAGCAAGTGATGTACAGATTTCGTTATGATGATGGGACTTATAAACCAAGGAGCGAACTGGAAGACATAATGTCCAAGGTATGCTTTGTTTTTTTGCAAAAGTGGGAGAAGAACTACATTGCAGCCAAAGTACATTGTATCATGTCGTTCTCTGGAACATGATTTGCAGCATTACTCAAATTGCTATGCTGTGTTGGAAACCAAGAGCCATTCCGTCTGTACTACTTCTTCCAAAATATTGGGCTTTCTAATTTGTCATGGGGAGGAAGCAGTAGGTTTTATAACCTGATAGATCTTGTGGGTAGAGACAGAAGGAAGAGACCTTTGAGAAACATAAAGTATCATTGCCAACAGTAAACACAAGCAGGCTTTTGTGGCATGCAGTAATAAGTACATCTCCCTCCTCCCTCACTCTTATTCTCTTTCTGTATACACACATACACATTTATTTATACTTGCAACTCTTTTCAGCTTGTTCCACAGTAAAAACTGTATTGGATACTATCCCTGCACTAACTCTGAAAAAGCTCAGCCAGTAGCACAAGAAACCTTCCACTGGTTAAGCAGCATGGTTGGATTCAGGCCAGAATTAATAACAAAATGTTAATTCAAACAGGACATTAAAATGTATTCTTGAAGTCTTTCACGGCTAGGATCCGATGGTTGTTGTAGGTTTTTAGGAACACAGACAGAGTTCTGTCCTCTGAAGATGCCAGCCACAGAGTCTGGCGAAACGTTAGGAAGAAAAACCTCCAGAACACAGCCAAACAGCCCGAAAAACCTACAACAACCATCAGAACATTAAAAAAATCATTGTAAAACACAACACAACAATAAAAGATTTAAACTGCACTGAAGAAGTTAAACCCTATTCAAGAGCAAAACCGTTTACATGCGATACATCCACCTAAACAGAAATGTTCTTTGGATGGTAGTGGAAAAACAATATAAAGAGAGTCAACTTAGCCTCTATAGGGGGTTGCAGAGTCAAAAAGCAGCCACCAAGCGTGTGTGTGTGTGTGTGTGTGTTTGCACGCACGCACACACACACACACACATTCACTCACTCACTCACAGAGAGAGAGAGAGAGAGAGAGAGAGAGAAAGGGAGAGAGAGAGGATCAACTTACAGTGATGTTTTACATTGCATGTTAAGATAGGAAAAAGTGTGCTGCTTATATACCGTCCCATAGCACTTAAAGCACTCTCTGGGCAGTTTACAAGTTAATTATGCAGGCTGCACATTGCCCCCCTACACCCAGCGAGCTGGGTGCTCATTTTACTGACCTTGGAAAGATAGCAGGCTGAGTCACCTTGAGCCAACTGCCTGGGATTGAACCCTAGGTTGTGAGCACAGTTTTGGCTGCAGTACAACAGTTTAACCACTGTGCCATGAGGCTCTTGGTCAGCGAATCAGTGAATTGTCATTGAATTTACTTATTTCAAAAAAAGGTTGTTATACAGTCCTTGGACTGTAAGGTCCCAAAGGCTACTTACAGACTAAAACAACAATTGTTAAAATAGCAAAGGAGGCCAAAATAATCATAAGCCATGAATTAAGAATGAGTACAGCTATAGCAGTGGTCCCCAACCTTGGGCCTCCAGATGTTCTTAGACTATAACTCCAAGAAGCCTTCACCACGACTTCTGCTGGCCAGGATTTCTGGGAGTTTAACTCCAAGAGCATCTGGAGGCACAAGGTTGGGGACCACAGAGGTACCGGACACTTCTTAAAAGAGGCCTTGCTAACTGCTTGGTGGAAGAGGAATAGGTGGCCCTGTTGCAGCTCCTCTGCATGTGTTTTAGAGAATGTTAGATCTGTCATGAAATTACAACCCACATTTGTTTCTCTCTGCAGGGTGTGAGGCTCTACTGCCGTCTACACAGTCTTTACACCCCAGTGATAAAGTGAGTTCATTATAATGAAGCCTTGCTTCAGACTGTGACCCATCATCAGTTGTTTTTCCCTTTCTTTGTGTAACCTTTAACTCCAAGAGCAAATACTTAGGAGATAGTTGAATACTTAGGAGATCCAGGCTTTCTCTTGGATGGCAGTCTTATATTTTACTGAATTTCCTCTAGAGTTGCTCTCAAGTAGGTTGTAGCTTCCACATAGTACTTTGCTTACTGCTTACTAGTCTTCGTGTCATTTATCCATACACCATGTTCTGTAACACACAAGTAAACGCGGTCTGTGTCCCAAACTACAATAATTAAAAATTGGCAGCCAGGTGATAGAAATTTGGAAGCACACATAGATGTTGGAAATGGCAAAAGGGCATGATTTCAGTTTTGTCATTTCCCCCAATTTATTCTAGTTTTTGTTAGCAGCAATGGATAAATCTGTGAGTTCTGAGCCTATGTTGTTTTTTAAAAATCTGTTCTAGATTTCTCTTCTGTTATTGTTTTCACATTAATTCGCAATTTAAAAAACATCATAACATTTGTATTTATATTTAAACTTCTGTTTTTTTTCTTTCAAAAACATTCATTTCTGGGAAGATTTTCTCTTCAGATACACATTTTATATGTTTTCTCTACATATTTTTCAAATGCATTTCATCATCTGTAAGCCAAAAAACATGTCAAAGCATGTTCATGAAATACAGAAGCCAGTGGAGAATTAGGTTTCTGCACAAGCCAAAAAACATGTCAGTTTATGTTCATATTAGTACAGTATTAGCAAAAATTAAACTCCAAAAATGTCCTTAGAGGCAAGGATTTGTGTTAAGACACCAAAACCACGTTCTGACCACTGAACAGCTAATGCAATAAATCCTTTGGCATTTCTGTGTATGTTTCAAACATACACAAAGAACAGAAATCTTTTTCTAAAAATGAAATCTGGAATCCCAAGGAATGTATTTCTATATCCCATACTGCAATCTGTGCCTTTTTTGCCTTTTGCTAATGAGTAATCATGGCGTGCAATCTCATTTATGTTGAATTAAACTATTTGATTAAGCCATTTTACCATTCTCCACTGAGATAGACAACTTTGTTTATAAAAAATACTCTGCTCACTAAGAATGCCAAGACATCATGCACTCTTTCCCTGCTCTAGTATTCAGATTGACAGTATCATTTACCATGGCAAGCATCCTGTTGGTTATGTATGCTGACTTCAAGTGTAGTGGCATAAAGTACAATAGTGAATTGCCTCTAATTAACAGATTGCTACTACTTGAGGACATGGTGGCACTGCGGGTTTAATTGCAGAAGCCTCTGTGCTGCAAGGTCAGAAGACTAGCAGTCATAAGATCAAATCCATGCAATGGAGTGAGCTCCCGTTGCTTGTCCCAGCTCCTGCCAGCCTAGCAATTCGAAAGCATATAAAAATGTGAGTAGATAAATAGGTACTACCACAGTGGGAAGGTAACAGGAATCCGTGTCTAGTCATGCTGGCCACGTGACCACGGAAACTGTCTTCGGACAAACGCAGGCTCTATGGCTTGGCAATGAGGATGAGCACCGCCCCCTAGAGTCAGACACGACTGGACGAAATGTCAAGGGTAACCGTTACCTTACTACTTGTTCTCCTCATTGTGCACCAGTCACATAAATTAATGTGTAGCAAGGGGTACAAGCAGCAACTAGCAGCAATTTACCACTTTGATTTACACAATTTTAGTAACAAACCAATACAATTCTGATTCATTATTGAGAAGCGAGATGCTTGCTTCAGGAACAACAAACAAGATATGGGGCTTACTTAAAAGGAGGGTGTTGGAGGTCCACTTTGTTATCTTCCTCTCCTTTCCTACTGCTTACAGGAATGTAGGGTGGAATCACTGTCATGCTGATTACTCCTTACTAATTATACTACTAATCTAGTAATGATAACTACCGTACTTATTGATGATATTGCTTCTTACTAATGATACTACTAATCTAATAAGGATGCTACTCATCTTCTAATTATACTGCTGATCTGAATGCTAAAGCAGGGAATGAGTATTTGGTGTCTTGATTTCCCAAGTCATCAGAGCATGTTTCGAAAACAAAGTTGCATATTCTGGTGAAGACAGGTAAAACAGTTTAATCAAATATTTTGACCATTCCTGAGTCATAGTTTTGTTTGCTTGAAAAATGTGATGATCCCAGATAATGCTTGAAGAGCAGAGGATGGGAATAGTTGTGTGGATGTGCTGTTGCACACATCCATGCTTCATCCACTCCATTCAGTGAGTGAATCATACATAACGTTTAAAAAATGGTAATCAGTTCAGCTGAGAAAATGTTACTGACCCTGGGAGATACCATTAGAGGCTTTAGCCTCAACAGCATTAATCAACCATGATTAACTGACAGAAAGAACCCAGAATCAGGAGTGATTGAAGATAATCTAAATGAGCTCTGCACTCCAGGAAGAACTTTGAGCACAAAAGTTGCTGCATGCATCTGCATGATATGGTTTAAATGATAGTTTTTTAAAATGGCAGAATGGACTCAGAGCATCCCATAAGGCCTTCTAAGACTAGCAAGGTTTTTAAGTGCACTCATTTTTGCTGTTTGCTTTTTGTATGGGATTTTATCATGCAAGCTATATTTAGAGCATTTTTGCTTTTAAAGGCAACCGAGAAATGTTTTGTGTAAATAAATGAGTTAATGAATAAATAGACAAAGCTCTGTCTTGCCTGGAATATTTACTGACATGACAAACAATGAAATGCAATAATGACTTAAAGGAATCTCAGTACTGACAGATGGGAAAATTGTAGCCCTTCAGGTGATATTGGGCTGCAGGTCCCTTCAACTCTCTCCATAGGCTTGATTGGCTAATGGGAATTCCTGTCCAACAATATCTGGAAGTGTATGCATTCACCATCCCTGTTATAAATTGCAAAAGGTCTATTGAGAAAAAGTTTTCTTTTAATCATAACTCTGTTTATTTAGTTACCTTTTTGTTGTTAAATTGTAGAACCTTTTTAAAAAAACGTTCTGTTCTTCTTTATAATTCAGAGACCGAGATTATCACTTGAAGACCTACAAGTCAGTGATTCCTGCAAGTAAACTAGTGGATTGGTTAATCGCTCAGGTAATGAAAGCACAGAGATGTTGGTGTTTAATCATATTTATTGTTAATTTCTCAATTTTTTTTGTTTTTTAAAGAGAGAGAGAGAGAGATGGTTGTACACTGCCTTGTGTCCCTTTATTGGGAGAAAGGAGGGATAGTAAGTAAGTAAGTAAGTAAGTAAGTATTAACTTACTTTATTTCAGTCTCAGCCTTTTAATCTTTCATATATTATTTCATCACAGCATTTTGCACTGAGTGAAAACATTTGCTCAAGCAGAGAAAGCTTTGAAAGGCCAGTATTGCTTACCTAAACAGAGTTAAAGGAATGAGGGGTGGAGCTACAGCTTGGAAAAGTTACTTTCTTTGACTAGGACACCCCAGAATCTTCCCCAGCAGGCCGCCAATGACTGCTCTAGTTTGAAGAATTCTATGACTTGTGGATCAAAAAGCAGTTTTTCTAAGCCCCCAAAAGTGAGGGACAGGATGACATATTCAGTGCTGTATCTAACTCTTCTATTTCACATAGATTTTCTCTGGTATGCTTCTTACACTACCCTTGACAGTGATTATCATTATGCCTGTAGCAATGTGGGCCTAAGCTGCACTAAATATCTAAGTTTTAGTGGACCCCTATTTAGTAGCTCATATTGTTGAAAATATTGCATATGTTTTCCAAAAAGAAAGTTTGAAAATACTGGATATGTTGACCAAATAAGCCTCAGTTTCCAATGTTTAAATTAAATGAAATACTAACTTCTTTTAATTTTATGATCTGGCAAAGTTTGAAGAACTGTTCCTTCTGTCTTTAATTTGGATTGAAGTAGCCATAGAGATAATTTACTAATGGAAAGGTCTGGTTTTCATTTCTTCATCTATAGATCAAAAAGAATAATCACGTGACATACATTTTCTGCCTTATTGAATTCATGATGATATTATTTTCAAGGATTTGTCAACATTTTTCTCTTTTCTGGTTTTGAATGTCAATAGTTAAATTGTTTCTATTTAACCTTCATTTCCAACCGTTCTCTTTTTTCCTCTCTTGCTGTTGATTGAACATTATAGGCATGATGAGATCAGGGTCAACAGAATAATCATTGTTAAGATATATAATAACTATGGTGTAGCCCTGAAATAAAGAGCAAGGTAGGAGTACAACATGCATAACAAATTAGCTCAGTGAGCATCGAAGAGTTACTTTTTTTTCAAGTTCAGCATTCAGATCCCCATAGTTAAAAATGTCTGTGGATGTGTGGCAATAAATCCTGTAATCTTTTGAAGCAGGAAACTTCACTTTCCAGATACTTCCTGTAAAGCACTCTGGATACTGTACTTTAGAATTCCCATTAGTCCTGTAGGATAAGCTTTTTCCATAAATATTCATCTTCCACTCTTCTGTTAGAAATATATATGTTTCCAACTTTCTCTTTTCATTTTCTTAAAGATAAATTCTTTAAAAAAGTGAGGAAGGGCTTTGTCCGGTATATGCCACAATTCTAAAACAGGATCGCACGACTTAAAATTAACCTAGTGTTCTATGGACCTGTCTTTGACTTAGCAGATAGATAAGTTACTGGAAGTGCTTTAACTTGAGGTTTTAGACCTATATCCTCAATGCTGGACAGAAAGTAAAATTACAGCAGTAATTATATAGAAGAATAAGTGCTTACATTGCTGTGAAATTAATACATTTTCTAAGAGTTAAGGAAGGAGACAGAGTGCAAATAGCTTGCAACGTATTTTAATTTTGGAGTCATCACATTGAAACATCTGAAAATAATTTAGACTTCAACATTTAGATTGCTATGAGATACTCTTTGTCTATTTAATCTGTTTCTCAGTTGCTCTTGTACATACTGTTTCTTCAGGTACATTGAAACTGTCTTAAACTTGGAGCTTAGGCCAGCCAGTCTATGTAGCCAAGAAAGAATACCTATTCTGACTCGTAGCAGCTCCTCAAGAGTTTCAGGCTGATGTCTTTCACATCACCTCCTACTTGGTCCTTTTTAAAATGGAGATCTTGGAAGGCCTTCTGAGTGCAAAGCATCCCATTGCGTTATGGCCTTGCATTCCTGTTTTGTTTTACTTTGCTTTGTTATTTTGTGGTGTGTTGTCTTTTCATTCTTCAAGAGGTTGGGCATTATCATCACATTTCCAACTTCAAAGGGGCAACCCCAAACAATAATAGTATACTGTATCCAAATTAATGTTTTTCAGCTAAACTGTTCTCCTTCCTGTACAGTACTTATTTTTCATTTGTGGCCTTGCATTCCTGTTTTGTTTTACTTTGCTTTGTTATTTTGTGGTGTGTTGTCTTTTCATTCTTCAAGAGGTTGGGCATTATCATCACATTTCCAACTTCAAAGGGGCAACCCCAAACAATAATAGTATACTGTATCCAAATTAATGTTTTTCAGCTAAACTGTTCTCCTTCCTGTACAGTACTTATTTTTCGTTTGTTTTACTTTGAATGACTGTAACAGTCTATTTCTTATTTCATTAAGTGATTGAGTGTATTCTAGTTTTCTGCATTTTATGTGTTGCACAATTTCTTGGTGTTTATTGAGTCACCTGAATATTTCTTTCTTCGCCATCCTCTCAATCCAAGAAATTCCTACCCTTACAGAAGGTAAATACCAGGTTTCAAAAATATATAAGTACTCAATTTTTTAAAATGGAATTAAAAAAAAATATTGAGGCTAAACTTTTAGTCAAGTGTAAAAGTTCTGCCCATGCTATAAAACTTGAAATAGTGATTTTCTTGTGACAGCCCCTTTAACCCCCACTCTGCATGGCCATTAACCATTTTGTCTGGGGGAATTCTGAGAATTATAGGTGAAAAAAGTAACTTTCTCAAATTTTGACTTGCTACTTCTGTTGTGATTATTCAGTTGTAGGTTTAGTCAGGTGGAAGTGATGCATGAATGTTCTGGGTTTTTTAAAATTTTTATTTATTCAATTTATATCCCACTTATCTGGTCAATATGACCACTCTAGGCGGCTTACAAAGTCATAATACAATAATGTAACAATAATAGCAATAATAAAAAAGAATTTATTACAATCAATATTAAAAACTACAAGATGGGAAAAATGAAAAATGAACTATAAAGAAAAGAGAAGAGAAAAAGCAAATATTAACTGGAGGGGAAGGCCTGCCTGAATATCCAAGTTTTTAGTTGACTTTTAAAAATACCCAGCGAGGGGGCAGCGTGAATCTCTGGAGGGAGATTGTTCCAGAGGCGAGAAGCCACTGCCGAGAAGGCCCGGTTTCTTGTTTTTTTCCTTCCGGGCCTCCCTCGGCGTCAGGCTTCTCAGCCTCACCTCCTGGCTCGCGCGAGTGACACAGGTAGAGCTTGGTGGGAGTAGATGTTCCATCGAGTATCGAGGTCCTAAACCATTTACGGCCTTATACGTAAGCATCAAAACTTTGAAGTTGATGCGGAACCGAATGGGCAGCCAATGCAGTGTGGCCAGAATAGGGGAGATATGTTGGGATTTTCTCGCTCCCGTCAGGAATCTGGCCGCCACATTCTGACTGTTTCATATTGTTTCTGCTGTTCTCTGCCTGGTAGGAACATTTCACATCATTATATTGAGATGTTTTATTTTTATCCACATCTTTGACCCAAAAACTGATGTTTTGGAATGGATAATATTTGAGGCCAAGCTATATTATCAGCTCTATCAGCCAAATTTGCTGGAGAAGCTATGTGTTCTGAGATTTCTACATGCAGTTGCTTGTAAGCAAATTAAATTCCCAATAGCTCAGTTAAGAACAGTGTCAAAACCATTTCCTCTTCCATTTAAATGTGGTTGCAGAGAGAAGTTAAAATGTGGCCTATAAGTACAGTGGACTCACTATTTCCTCTAATAAATAATAATTAAAGATTGTGAATAGCCATGTGGCAGCTTTGAAGAAATTATATTGTTCAGAAATTTCATTTAATGGCCAAAATCCTATTGCGCAACTCGAGATTGTACAAATGGCAATTGTGCTAGCACTGAGGTAGAAATGCCATCCTTGAAGGACTTCTGCCAGCACATTGCACAATTAGTCTCGCTGGGGCACATGAGCAATACCTTGTAATCAGGCATAACAGTCAGCATGTTTGTGCCAGCATACGCTTGTTATGCCAGCCAGCATGAACAGGATATTGGCCAATGTTTATTGATACCCTGTACCTTTGAAGTTATAAAAGTAATTCGTGAAGGCTTTCACGGTCGGGATCTAATAGTTGTTGTGGGTTTTTCGGGCTCGTTGGCCGTGTTCTGAAGGTTGTTCTTCCTAACGTGCTGTCCTCTGAATATGCCGGCCACAGAGACTGGCGAAACGTTAGGAAGAACAATTTTCAGAACATGGCCAAAGAGCCCAAAAAACCCACAACAACCATTATAAAAGTAACTTTAAAAAGTTACTGTTATAATGCAAAAGAACTGCAATTATTCCATGTTAAGCTACAGTCCTAATGAATTATATCTTTGTTAACAGAAAAAAATAATATATTTATGTGTGTATATTTATGAGAGAGTTGTTATACATAAGCCATACTGTTGGGCTTATACATAAGCCTCACATAAGCCATACTGTTTTCCTAGTGTTTGCACTCCCTGAGAGTTTTTCAGGAACAGAGAGTGTATGTGTAAGGAGGCTCGTATGAATTTTTTGCCATTTGGACTTGTGATGTTATTGATTATTATTATTTAAATTATTAGTTAACATATTTTTACCCCAACCTTCTCTGTAAAAGGAACTGCCCTGGTTCCATTACAAGATGCTGCCCACACAAAGCGCTATGTAGATAAATCAGGGCCTCAGATCAGGCACCAGTACCAATATTTCTCTAGGCTTTTGGTGTTCCACCCAAATACCTACTGCGTAGCTCCTAGAAATGTCATTAACTAGCTTCAGATAATGTAATGCAGGTGGTGTTTGTTGTTTGTCTGTCTGTTTTTATTGATAAAGCAGACATAAGTGTAAGAATGAGATTTGAGGAAAAACTATGTAGGACAGATACTATGTTCACTCTAACTTATGCGAAGTCTCAGTAAGAAGCCTTCACTCTCTGTTTTTTTGGCTGACTCTTGTTCTGAAGAAGTATTTAATTGTCTGTAGCCAATGAACAGAGAATGTGGATTATTGCTTTTGCCAGCTAAAGAAGGTCTCTGCATTGAGGTAATGTACAGCACTTGTAGAGTTAAAATGGCTGCTTTCCGGAGCTTTGGCCTTTGTCCTTCCCATTGCTCTGGGAGGCAAATGGTACTATATATAGGAATGAATGGGATTTAAGAGAAGGGAACCTATTTTAATGGCTTACTGTTGTTTCTTTCCAAAGAGCGCCATGCTAATTTGAGAGCTGAGGCCCCAGCTGCAGACCAGGGGGAAGCTGAGTGAATTCGGAAGTGGTTTGAGGTGTTAACATTTGTCCTTTCTTGTTACCAGGGTGATTGTCAGACAAGGGAGGAAGCTGTCGCACTCGGTGTTGGACTCTGCAACAATGGCTTCATGCACCATGGTAATTTATCAATATCCTCTTAGCCTAGCCAATTAACAGAGGCCTCACATTTTCTAATTAGCCAGGAAATATGGCAAAAGCTCTCCAGTTTGTAATGTTTTCAACCAATGTGAAGCATTAGAAACAGTTGTAACTGGATATCCGGGATGCGCAAAAATCTTCAGAACTTTACAAGTCTGATTGCTTTGCCATCTGTGAAAAAGTGGAAGGTATATGCGAGTCTCTCGAGAGAAAATGTACACTGATATGAGGTTACCTTTTGGACTGTAACTCATGGAATCCCATAGCCAGCATGCTGATGTTCATAATAACTCTCAGATTCTTTCAGCCAGCATGACCACTGGCCGTGCTGTGGATTTCTGGAAGTTAACAGTCTCAGTTCTTTTTCTTTTCTTTTTTTAAAAATGATGATGACATTGGAGGGGATTAAGGGTAGGGATTTCACACAAATGCGTTTGCAAAAGCCAGGTCTGTGTGTAAATTATCTGCAGAAAATTTGCAAATGAATTCTGGTGATTAAGGACAGTGATGTCATCTGAAAGTGGAGCTGAATTGCAAGCTTTCCAAAAACTGATATGCTGGTCCATAAATGGCAACAACCTTGAACCACTCCTTCAGAACCCTAGGCCATTCTTGTGTCTGTCTAAATTTCTAGTCCTCACTTGTCCTCTTGCTGCTTTGATTGCCTGCAGTTCCGCCTGCAGTTCACACAATACACACAATAGTGTATTGGAGCCAGGGCTCACAGGGTTGAAGTCTTAGGACTTGCTGAGTAGCTAGGACTAAGACATCATCTGCTACCTGCTATTTGTGTGTTTGTAAGGATCAATCTAAATTGCTCCATTTTTAGACTCTCCTTATGGGGAGATAGTGGCTATGAAGACTATCATGGTGAGTATTGCACTTCTCTGTGTGCAACTACACCACTACTGTTTTGTCGGTTCCATGTGACTTTGCATACTGCCCCACCCCAACAAGCCTGCTTCCTGGTCCTCACTTCCCTTACTTAGCCAAACTGACTTTTGGGACGTGATCCCAGCTTTCCAATTCTAAATTGTTCTTTTGCTTGAGATAGGTAGGAAGAGGCTTGCTGGAAGAGGTTATATGCATCTTCTAATCTTTATAGTTTTGCATAGGACTCAGGTGAGGTGGGCTAAGTACAAAAATCCACAATATATTGAAGGGATTCGGATGTACCTACACTGTACCATTATATCAGTTTGATACCACGTTAGCCATCATGGTTCCATACTACAGAATCCTTAGAACTGTGCACTGCTTATTTGAGGTCTCTAGTGGGAAATTCTAAGTAAGTATACAAGATGCAAATCTTAAGTCTCCTTTAGATGGAATGAAGGGAGTTAAAATGACATCAGACGGGTATACCTGTTCAGTTAGTGACTAGAGATGGGGGATTTGTATTCATCTCCTGGGGGAGACAAATACGAAGCCCACCATCAAACCTTCCCACCCAATCAGGCATCCACTTCTAGCTTCCAGCATGGCGCGCACTGCTGTCATTCATCTCTCTGCATCAATCGCAGACATATACTGGGAGTAAACATTTTTTGATCCATCCAAATAAAAAAATAAGCCCAGCATAGGGAAAAGTAGCACCAATAAGCTTTAGAAATATAGCACTGCTGCTTATACCTCATTTGTAAGCTCTGCACTCCAGTTGTGAAAAGCTGTTCTGAAATGTAGGCTAATTTCCCCACTTTCAGCCGTTTTCCTCTACCATTCCTTTGTTCATGATTCAACAAACCTAAACTGTTAGAAAGCATGGCAGTCTGGGGCCCTGGCATCTTTGTCAGGCAGCTTTGATTAATGTAATTCATTTCCTTCTTCTTCTTCTTTTGTCCCCAACCCCCAGCTTTTATATTTTATCCGTTTGAAGGGGAAATGTGCAAAAGCTGGCCCCAAATAGTGATTGGAGGGTTATAACAGACCATTTCTGAAAAAACCAAACCCCTTTTCATTGAATTTCCATTTATGAAAACCAGCTCTTTTAATATGTTCTTTTTGAACCTGTGGAGACATTTTGTAAGGCTGCAGAGAGCTTCTAGTATGTGTGCTGTAATAAGAAGATAAGCAAAAGGAGGTCACTGGGATTAGTTTTTCTACATTTCTGGGATGATTGCTTTAACACACAGACTCAGACACGTATGTATAAATATATGTGGCATTCCCTTATATCAAATTTCCCCAATCAGGTGGTCTCCAGATGTTTTTGGAACACAACTTCCACATAGCATGGACAGTGATGAGAAATTATGGGAGTTTTAGTTTAGAGTGTTTGGAGAGTTGGGGAGTTCTGCCTTATTTTTGCATTTATCAGTTATATTTATATCACACTTTTCGTCCACTTAGGTCAAGGCGCAGTACATGGGTCTCCTTCTCTTCCTCCTCATTTTAGCCTTACAAGTACCCTGTGAGGTTAATCTGGCTGAAAGTTAAAGATGGAAAGAGGCTGCCCTATGGGCTTCCAGCGAGTTACACTGCAGAGTGGACACTTAATCCTTGATCTCCAAATCCTACTCCAGTTGTCTCCTTGCTGTACCACGGTGGCTCTCTTACACCATCAAACCACTGGGCCTTTTAACCCAGTGTTGTTTCTCCTAAGTGGCAGCAACTGTCCATGATTTTTGGTTATGCCACATCATGGGATGCAGCTAGGATTGCAAAGGGCCATCTGGCAGGCCCCCTCCTATGTAGGTAGGCTGCCAGTGGCTTACTTAGTAGCAGAGTTCTAATTATGGACAAAAAGATTGTACTGACATTTTCCATAATGGTCCAAAGAGACATTGTGCAATTAGCATGCCAGAAATTAATGTAAGACCTGCTATAACAGTTTTGGGGTATCCTGTGCGTTGTAGTGGATAAAGTGACAAACCAGGACTCAGGAAGCCTGGGTTCAAACCCCACCCAGCCATGAAAACTCACTGGGAGTGTGGAACTGGTGAAACCGCTCCTTAAATATCTTACTTACCCTGAAAGTCTTATTAGGGTCACCTATAAATTGGTTTCAACTTGACAATAGCAATAACTGTGTTGAGGAAGGTCAGAATCAGAGCTAGGAAACATTTTTTTGAATGGCGATTTTAAGCATCACCAGATGGGAGTTGTAGTCCAAAAATGACATGTTTCCAAATGCTGGACAAAAAAAAGCATCAATGGTAGGCTCTGTTGGACTGTTCAGCTTGCGCAACTGCTTGAAAGTGTTGTGTACATTCAAAACATACGCACTATGACTGCCATGTATTTTTTAAATCATTCCTATTAATTGGAGGCAACAAATGTGTCCTGTAACAAAATTTTAGGATTCTACCCTTCTCAGCCAGTCCATCTTGTTTCTCCTCTACCCAGGTTTTGGTTTCTCTCCCAAACAGTCAGTCATTACTGGGCTGTTTTAGATTCATTACCCGTACCCAGCTCTTTTTGATATTTCCTCTGTTCTGTGTGTAATGTATTTTGGTTGCATAAGTCCCAGTACTCCTCTCAGAGCATGATTAATAAAGTAAATAATAGAACCAAAATATTTTAAGCTGTGCCAGATAAAATGGCTGTACAAGTGTGGTGGAGGCAATATATGATTGGAACAAATGCAGTAATGCTGAATAAAGGGTAGAAAATAGAGTCAAGGATAGATGGTCAGGTTTGCATGGAGGGTCATCTAGAGATTTCTGCTATAGAGCTTTGCATGTTGGCCACAGCTGTAGCAACCTGTGATGTGGCCCCAGAAGATGAAGGCAGCTATTGGGACATAACTTCTGTGTTCAAGCCAGTTCAACACATTCAAGCCACGTAAATGATTTAAAAAGTGCTCAAGGAGAAAAGACACAGCTGAGAAGTTAATTTAGCATTGTAGCCATTTTCTGGCTTTCTATGGGGTTGGCTGGCCTTTGGAAACCTCACAATGGACCTATGTTTACCCAACTGGATGTCCTCCAAGCAATGGATGAAAAGCAGCCGTTGTTGTATGTCCCCTGTTGAATAGTTCAGATTCTATGTCGGCAGCGTAAAACCAATTCTCAGTCCTCTCTGCAGGGACAGAACGTCAAACATGCTTGAAGGAGGCAAAAAGTGTCCCATAGAGAACAATGCAGAGATGGATAAGTGGAGTGAGAGGATTCAGAGCTCTAGGGACTGTGTCATGGATCATAACTATCTGTCAGTGCCTCCTTTATGCCTTGTAAAGTAGTATGCACACAGGCAAATGATGTGTTGCTACAAAAGTGTACCTCTGATAAGAACATAAGATTTGCCATGCTGGAATGTGTAACTCAAAATTCTGTCTTAACCATCCAGGGCCAAATTACACATTACTGAAATTTGTATTCTATAGTTTCATAGAGGGTTTTGGTTACGTGGTTAGTAAGATTGCCTCCCCCCTCCCCCAAATCTGGACCATGTCTGGGATCTGAGAGAAGAGAATGTGTAAATCTTCTTTGCTTTTGTGCCAGTGTCTTAAATGAAAAAAAAAATGAACTACTCTCAGATCAAATGACAAGAAGAATAATAATAAAAATCCTATTGACCAGAATGAGATTTTTCCCCCCACTGTCAGTATTTGGCATGCAGGGGAAGGAAGGATTAAAAATCTCTTCCCCATGTTAAATGATCCATATCCAGATGGAGAAGGGGTGAGGAGACATGTTAGTACCCTCTAAAAGCACTCCACTGCCTGTTATGCATGTAAAATAATATGAAGTGGGACCCTACTGTCAGAGAGAAAGTTCCAAATCATGATGTCTGTTCACTGTGTATCCCTTATTGCATCCCGCTGCAGCTAGGATGCCTTTTGGTTGAAAGATGAAGTGGAAATGAAAAAATGAATAAAAGTCTTTCTAGGAGCCCCCCCACACACATACACCGAACATTTTCATTACAGAGACACCTTCATACTGCATCTGAAGCAAATCCTACAATAATGAAAAATATATTTAATTAATGTTTGGAAGCTGACATATTTTAACATATGCTGGAATCCATATACTGTAAGTACACATATAGAAACAAGTAAAAATGTACACAGAAAATATCTCTTAAGTAATCCTCCTTTCAAACACTGTATCAAAATTCAATATTGATCTGATATCTAGAGAAAAATGAATATAAAACAAAGGAACAAAAGCCTCAAAATCTTGAAGATCTGGAATAGCATGCATAAATCAGCTTTAAGGAGCAAAAAAGTTATGAAATTATTTTGAATGAATTAGGCTAGTGGTTTAGAGCCACCGTGATGTAGCGGATAGTGTGTCAGGCTAGGATCTCAGGAAACGTGAGTTCAAATCTCCACTGGGCCACAGAAATTTACTGCTGTGTTTTAGCAATGTTAAACCTACTCCTTAAATATCTATCTTGTAAATTGCATTAAAAATAATTCTGTGCTGTCAAGTCAGTTTTGACTTACAGTGGCCCCTTTTAGGGTTTTCTAGGTAGAGAGTACTTAAAAGTGGTTTACCATGCCCTTCTTCTGAGAAGACCCTGGGACTTGGCAGCTTGCCCAAGTCCACTCAAGCTGGCTGTTCTGGGATGCACAGTAAAGGAACTGAACTCCCAACCTCTAGCTCTAGAGCCCCAAACCTAGCTCACTGAGCTATTCAGCCAGCACAGACTGTATGAGGGTCAGCATAATTCAAATGACTTGATAACATATAACACCAATGGCATGTTGTTGTTAAAAGGCTGAGGCTGGCTAGGAGCTGCAGATCAGCTGGGAGTCGAAGCCTAACTAAGTTGAATAGTTAGGACTGAAGGACAAACTAGGAATCGGGATCAAAGGAACTGAAATGTCAGAACTGAAGACCAAGTGAAGACTGAAGGACCAACTGAGAGGCAGGATCAAAGAACAAACAGATGTTAGATCCATTGGGCCAGCCAGAAGAGACAGAAGTATGCCAAGTTCAGAAAGACTATATTGTTCCGACAGAGCCAGAAACCTGGGAAAGTTGCTTGTATTAGAATCCACTACTTAGCAAGGTCACTGTTCCTGCTGGCTGGCTGGGTCTGAGAATCGTTATCTTTAAAAGTAACTTCTCCAAGTTTTTGAGCAAGGGTTAACTGTTAAGAGGAAATCTCTCAGCTCTTTTCTATCCAGAAAGATCCTGGAACCTGCCTTATTGGAGATAATTTAAAAGCTAATTCAATTAGTCACTATGCAAGGCAGCTTGGTTCAAGCCACAGCAGCTCCTGGTGTTCAGTAGACAGAGTGGATCAAGTGACAGATGTGGTTAAGTGTCTTCTTGCTCCTGGTTGCATCACATGGTTTCATACCATTTCCCCCCGAAAGAAACTGAGGAAATTGAGGCTGAAAGTAATCATGTAAGATGCTGGAGGATAAGCACAAACACAAAGACCCAAGCATATGGTTTGCTTTGTACATTCTGTTTGTTATTCAGTTTATCCCCTTTCTTCACTAGACACAATGCCAATGATGTGTTTTCCAGAAAAAGAGATGAGAAAAAAAAAATTAGTTTGATTTCATTACAAATATGTATGTGATGTATATTATCCATAGAGGAATTTCCCACAAATGAGCCAAAAATGTATGCTCAGAGGAAGTGCTACAATGCTTTATAATGAGGTGTAACATATCATCTTCCCTCTCAAAATGATTCCATGCATTTGGCAAGAGGGAATAGATGTACAAGAATTCCATCATCCAACTCAATGTATGTCGGGAATCTGGCTAGTTTGTATGGCAGCCATAAAATCTATATATAATTGTCTGAGTATGATGTTGGTGATTTGTTCACAGGTCATTAATTTACAATGATGACCAAAATTGTTTTATTCGCGCTAGGCTAGTAGCTGCAACTGCTTTCATGAAATTTTTAATACCTGACAAAATAGGCATTTTTTATCCCTCTTCCACAGGATGTCTAATTTTTTGGCTGGGGAAAGTGGGGAGCAAGAGTGTGTGCTTACCTTATTCAAACCCTATTCAGGTGTTCTGAAAGTAAATGAAGGGCACACATAATGAGTGAAGTGCATTAGCCCTGACTGTCCCTTATCGCTTTTGAACATATGGAAGTGACAGTCTGAAGAGGGTCAGCATGCAAGACCCATCAAAAATGGGGTGACCCTAAAAGCAAACAAACCCCCAAGTCTCATCAGAAATGGGGGAAAATACCAAAACAAACAACCCCCCCCCAAAGTCCCATCGGAAATGGGGAAAAAATATCAAAAAACAAACAAAACCCCCAAGACCCATCACAGCACAGAAACATAAGCCCCCCAGCCCAAAACCACGTTGCAAAACCCACCCAGAACAGTTTTTAAAAAGCAGAAAGCAACACCTTACCTTACCAGGCAGTCAGAAGCCTCCTCCGATCGCACTCACTCAGAAGTCGAAGCAAAATTTTGCAGCTGGAGGTGGTCATAACTCAAAATGATTGTAAGTGGGGACATTTGTAAGTCAAGGCACCACTGTATCATAAATTGCATGGGCAGTCTGCATAGCTTCCTCTTCTTCAGACTGCTGGTTTTGCATATTGAAAATAATGAGGAAGAACGTGGGGCTACAATATTCCCCCCATCTCATGCGGTGAATACACACTTTTAAGAAGTCCCGAATGGGACACTTAAGTGTGTAAAATGGCCAACTCTTTTCATCTCTTTACCTGTTAGATTGCTCACATGCACTTTCAATGATATTCCAGGCAAGGGTAGCAGGATGCACAAGATTGGGCAGATGCATTTTAGAAAAGAGAGGGAAGGAGATTGAAAAGACTGCTACATCGTTTCACATACTTAACAAGATAAGCCTTCAATGAAAATTTTAATCCAAATTAAATGCTTTCAATGATAATTTTGATCTAATTTTTCTTCCTCCCCCAACCCTTTTGCAACCATATCTTTGGCTCCCAACTTCATAATCACTAGAAAAAAGAAGAGAAATATTTGGCTCTTTTAGGGCTTTTATATCCCTGTGGTTTGTATACAAGCACTGACATGTTTGTCTGTTCTCCCCATTTTTGGTTTTTAGTTTTGGAGAAGAGTGAATTCAAAGATGAGTCTCAGTATTTCCGTTTTCATGCTGATGAGGAGATGGAAGGGACAAGTTCGAAGAGCAAGCCATTACGAAACGACTTCAAACTTATTGAAAATATTTTAGCCAAAAGCTTACTGGTAAGAACCAAAAGCACAATAGATAGCACATATCCAATTCTAACAAAAATACTTTGAAAAAATATGGATAGAATGTAAGTGGGGGGAGAATTAATTGCGAAAACCCTGGAAAGTAAGCTGTCTCTGGGAACAGAACTATATATTACACATAGCATGCTAATGGAACACTTCTCAAAGGACTGGAAGACATCTGATTATCACAGCAGAGGTTTTTTACACCTCTTGTAGTTTGCAGGTTCCCATTGTGGTGTGGTGGATAGAGTGATGGACTGGGACTCTGGAGAACAGGGTTCAAATCGCCATGGAAACTCACCAGGGCAGTGGAACTGGTAAAACACTCCTTAAATATCCCACTTGCCTTGAAAGCCCTATTAGGGTCTCTGTAAATTGGTTCCGACTTGACGGCACAGAGCATACATGCGCATGGTTTGCAAATTAGCTCGTTTTGTTTTGTTATCTATAGGTAAACATGGACTTCATTTACAAATATGATTTTTCAGACATGAATCATATATCTGGAAAGGACATGCTATTGTAATATGTAGACAGAAATTAACTGCTATGCCATGGGGACATACGGCAGTTGCATCTCCCTGGAATGTTTGAAAGAGAGGGCCACCCAATAGGTTTGTCCTCAATGCAGTCTTTGATAAACGGAAATAAATTGCCACATTGTATTCACAAGTGAGAAAGTTTAATGGATGTATTCTCTATTCTTACGTTACCCATGCATCAACCTGCCATATAGGGAAGGACAGAGTGGAGTTAAATGGCTGACCGTCACCCAATATATTGTATATAGCTGGTGTCACCTGCTTTGGTATCTGCACATCCAGCATGGTATCTGTAAGGGGATTCTTATGAACAAGCATGGAGGCATTTCACACCACAGAGACCCCATCACCCTGTTCTGTTTCTCATACATAGCTACTGTTTGGAGAAATCACACTGAATATGCTTATGTCCTGCTCACCCTTCTCTGTGCTATAGAGCTATTGGCAGTTAGCACAGAAGTGATGCAATACTGAGGTATACATTACATTTTGAGTGAAGCCCACACCTTCTGCTTTCCTCTGTTGCAGCCATACACTTTAGAATCAAGCTGGTTTCCTTCTGCTTAATCCCACCCTTGGTCTTGGCCATGTTCAAGTAGAATAGAATGTTGACAAAAACTGGAGCATGGGAAGAGAGAATGAGCCTGTACTTAAACATCCTTTAGAGGGAATAATGTTTCCCAGTGGATACATTACTGCTGCACTGTGGAGTCATGCTATCAATATCAATTAACCAATATAAGTGAGAGATAATTTCTCCTAGAACATAATTTATTCTAAAGACAGGTCATTTGAACATACAGAACTTCTGTAAGTCATCTCTTTCAGTGTTTTCCTGATATGTAAGCTCTGCACATGTGGAAGAGACTGGGGATGAGCACAGTCAGCAAAAGAGTTTCCTCTCTTGGTGAAGGTTCCCGTCAAAGTCTTAGGACCCTTTCCTGATTCTAAGGAAAGCCTCTGAGGATAGAGAGGTCTCAAGCAGAGGTTAATAAAAATGGGCAGAGAATCCTTCTAGTGCTTACATACTTGCCTATCCTTCTCTTCTCATGTGTCGCGCTTGCATGCAAGTGGAATGCCCAAATAAAGCTTGTGTGTTGGTTATCTCTTGAATCGTACGTGTGCAAAGCAGTAGCTTCTTTTGTATCTCTTTTCCTTCAGGGTCTCTATGTCCAGTAACCTGCACTGGTGTTCCACATTCTGTAATTCTGATTCTGTCTCTTCTCACTCCTTTCAGTGGATTATTGTCCTAAGTCTTCATTACTGTTTGCTCTCTAGCAAGCTTATTTCTTGACAGTGGGCCAAAATCTGTACCATGCTCAACACTGATGACTGACAAAATGGAAGAGCAAAAAAGCGTACTAAAGCAATACTAAAGGCATGTGAACCACAGAGGAAAAGCCATGTTGGGAGAGATTCCAAAGGCCCATTAAGGAGGAGGGAGCAATGTTTCCCAGTGGATATCTTTGATAGCTCTTTTGCTGCTGCAAATTTTTCTTAGTGGAGCAAACGTGTAGCAGCATCATTTTTCACCAGTAAGCCAAAATACAAATTAACAACAACAAAAAGCAAAGCTCGATCCTTCTTGTTGTTGCTCTTCTTATTCATAGTATTCTGAAATTTAGTATTCAAGTTGAGTATTCAATTTTATGGCCTTTGTGAGGATATCATGCTACTTACTGCTAACTGATTTGATATCCAGAGATTATTCAAAGAATAATTCTACAAGGTTATTTTATGAAATGCCAAATTTTGCTTTATAAAAAGGAGCAACATGTTTCATGTTTGCTATGCATCATCTGCGGATCTTCCCAAACGCTTGCTCTACAGTATTCTCTCTTGTATGCTGACAGCAGTATTATATTCCTGTAAAATCATTTCTTCCAATGGATATCATATTCATTTGTTTTCATGATGGTTGCTGTTTTGGTTTCCCAAGAGTCATGTTCCTGCAGTTACTAATACGTGTGTTTTTAATTATTCATTGCATTTTTAAAAATCTTGCCTTTTCAGAAAATTGAAGTTTAGGGCAGCTTCCAAGATGCAAGTGATAAGGAAATAAAAAGTCCTGTATAAATAAGCACTTTAGAGATGTCAATTGCTATTATGGATCACAAATTCCATTTTCAGTTACTCCTCATTTTACATGTTTAGGTTATGCTTCATGTATGTGAAGTGTGTATCTAAACATATAAAGTTGTGAGTGTGACAAACATGTGCTTGCAAGCATTCATTTTGCAAAGATGTGTGTCATATAAACGAAGGACTATCAGAGTCATGACTGGTTGCAGCTGCTCATGGAGTGCTGTCTTTATGGCCAAACTGAGTTGGCCCCTGGTTTGAGGGGCCCCTTGGCATGGTATGCTCTGGTCTCATCCATCAGTGGCCCCTGACATGCCTATCTGGCAGAAGCAGCTATTTTAAGTTAGGTACCCGCAAGTTCTCCTGCTATTTCGTTGCACCATGGCATTATGAGAAATTAAAATTTCAGCCCTCTGAAATTTACTCCAGCATTTCAAATCAGCATCACAACACTTAATCTGGGAGTCACCATGTTGGTTTTCCACAATGTCTTAAATCAGTCAGAATCCTGGAACCTCCAGGCTGATATGTAATCCAAAAACAACAAATAAGCAGACCAGGACTTTTGCAATGTCTTCTTCAAAGTCATCTTGCTTAAATCAGTCAGAATCCTGGAACCTCCAAGCTAATATGTAATCCAAAAACAATAAACAGACCAGGACTTTTGCAATATCTTCTTCAAAGTCATCTTATTCATATACCTGTCTGACACACTATTCTGAGTGTACTTCCAATTGGTGTATCACATGCCTGAATTTTGCCCAACCTGAAACAAAGTTCTGTCGGGGGCATTGCGGGCAATTAAAACACCCAGAACTGATTAGAGTGCTGGTCATTTCTTTTTTAAAAATGGGGACAGGAAGGTAAGAACAAGGGTCAGAAGTGCCATATATTGACACTTGGCCTGTACACAGTAACCATAAAGAGCAGCTACAGCAATTCTAGCTTGACATACTTTCTGCATCTTTATCCCTAGTTGTATTCCTTCTTCAGGCCTGGTTTTCAATAAGAAGACATTTAGATCATCTTCCTCAGCTGGCTTTTGCAACACACTAGATTTTTTTGCAACATATGCTAAGTTGCATGAAGAGAAATCAACAGCCTCCCTATCTTTTATCCCTCTTTCTGACCTTACCACTGGAAGGGACAACACATATTTGCTGCCAAATGAAATGTGTAGATGCCAGAGGCAAATTATTCTGGCATGAATCAAACACTCTTCAAACAAATGCTTAATTTCACTTGTTTGTGCATAGGAGACTGTTCCTGGACATAAATCATCCCATCCTGAAAAAATACACAGAATTCCCAGCATATTTCATGAAAATTAAAGCTTAGGCTTGCTTCCAGATACTAAAAATGTAACAGTGTCAGGGTATCTGCTCTGGAATTTATGAACTTTGCTTTCATAACTGAAATATGTGCTTTGGGGTTGGTAATTCAAGGGCATTTTTGCTAAGACAGTTGACAACCTACAAAATTTCCAGAATACCTTTTTATTTTGATTTATGTGTTTCCTTTAAGCATCTAACAACCTGCCATTAATTTAAAAAAAATCCAAGACAGTTTACAAGAATGTGGGCTTGAGTCATGGGACTCGCTGTCAAGTTGGACTTAAGTCACACTGGTGATTCGACGCGTTGTTTCCCCCCTCAGTGATTCAGATTTGCTTCATGATTCGGAACCCACTCCTCCTTTTTTTTCTGAGGTAAAAAAGCTGGTTTTTAATTGGCATTTGGGGCTTGGAACTCAGAACTTGGTACCAAACCCTTGGACATAGGACTCCAGTCCAAAGACTTGCAAAAAGCAATAAATTCAGATTAGCCATAATATTCAGTAAAACAGCAAGATAAAACATCAACAAAAACAGCACAGCAAAATTTAGGACAACAAAAAATGCTCACCAATTGCAGGTGTGGTGAGTGTTAAAGCCAGACAAAAAACCTCTTCACTTGATGTTAAAGCTCAGAAGGCGTGGTGCCAAGCTAGTAGTACTGCTAAGGATATACCAGATTTAGGGGCCCACCAATAAAGAGGACCTGCATTCAGAAACCAGCTCTGTAATCTTTGAAAGCAGGAGCTGCTGCTGCTGTCCCTCTTATGATGATCTTACACTTGGAGAATGGTCACGTTCATAGGGGAATTAGCTGAGCCTATAAACTGTTTCATATCTGTACAGTGGTGTCTCTACTTACAAACATCCCGACTTACAACCATTTCGAGTTACGAGCAGCTCCGGCTGCAAAATTTTGCTTCAACTTGCGGCCGGAGCTTCCAGTTATGAACAGAAAAGGGCAGGGGGGAAAAGGCGGGGAATTCAAATTGCTAACTGTTGGTAGGCGAAGAGGCTGCTTCTTTGTAGCTCTTTCACCCCAACAGTTAGAGTGAGTGCGATCGGAGTAAGCTTTGGGCTGCCTGGTAAGATAAGGTGTTGCTTTCTGCTTTTTAAAAACTGTTCTGGGTGGGTTTTGCAGTGTAGTTTTGGGCTTGGTAATGGGATTATGTTTCTGTGCTGTTATGGGTCTTGGGGAGTTTGTTGTTTTTTGGTTTTTTCCCATTTCCAGTGGGTCTTGGGGGCTTTGTTTGCTTTTTGGGGTTTTCCTCCCATTTCCGATGGGGGGGTTTGTTTGCTTTTGGGGTATTTTAACCCTATTTCTGATGGTCTTCTGGGGTTTGTTTGATTTCTGCTTTGCTTTTTTTGCATTTCTGATGGGTCTTGTATGGTTTGCTTGCTTTCTGCTTTGCTTTTTTTGCATGTCCGATGGGTCTTGCACAGTTTGCTTGCTTTCTGCTTTGCTTTTTGACATTTCTGCTGGGTCTTGCACGGTTTGCTTGCTTTGCTTTGCTCCCCCCCCCCTTTGGCCGGAACAGATTAATCACATTTCCGATGGGTCTTGCAGTCTTTTGTTTTGGGGTTTCTTTGTTTTTTGTGATATTTTCTTCACCCGGAATGGATTAATTGCATTTCAATGCATTCCTATGGGAAATGGTGCTTCGACTTATGACCATTTCGAATTATGACCAGAGTTCTGGAACCAATTAAGTTTGTAAGTCGAGGCACCACTGTATTAAATTGGATTCTCTGTAGAATTTTTCCATACTGCACATTGCTCCTATTGAAAAGGAACTGCCCCCCCGCCTACATTTTTAAAAACTAGTTTGCCCTGTTTCTGGAAGTAATCACCTTATCCAGAGGCATAAATCTTTGCACAGATACTGGTTGCACTTAGTTTGAATTGGTTTTAGCTGTTGTGTACTCATATTACCTTCACACAGGAAGGAGATAGACGGCTATCACTGATGACAGATGAATCCCATAATTTTCTTGAAGGAGTAAGATGAAATTGTACAAGATGAAATCGTACAGTTGTACACCTGCTCCAAGGCATGTCAAGCAGGAAATCAGTCTCTGAGCAGTTCATCCTGCACTTAGTGCTAAATGGCCCAGATTGAGAATTTAGGACAGAACTGACCACTTAAAAATATTACCTGAAACCTAATTGGCTCATCATGCCATCTGATCTCCCTACTGAGCCGACAGTTCCAGTACTCGCTCCCACCACCACTAGCAGTGTTACTGAAGTGCTGCAGAGAGAGGTTAGGTCAGTGGTTCTTTTTAACTGCAGATTTCTATAGCCATGTGGAAAAGGAGGCATTTTGTTCCTACTTCCATAGAGGAGCTTGTCACGGCCCAGTCTTGAGGCACTAGCAGTGTTACTGAAGTGCTGCAGAGGTTAGGTCAGCGGTTCTTTCTAACTGCAGATTTCTATAGCCATGTGGGAAAGGAGGCATTTTGTTCCTACTTCCACAGAGAAGGTTGTCACGGCCCAGTCTTGAGACTAAAGATGAGGACTCTAGTCGCAGGACTCACCGTGAAGTTGGACTTCAGTTGCACCAGTGACTCAACTCTTTTTAAAATGACTTGGACTTGACTTGGAACCCAACCTCTCCCTTTTTTCTGAGGAAAAAGGTTGTTTTTTGTAGGGATTTGGGACTTGGTACCAAAGGCTCAGACTTGGACCCAAAGACTTGCCAACATCTCTGCTTGAGACCCTTGATGCCTCAGTTAATATCCCGATCACTGATAGTAATTGGAACACATACAGTACTTGGGGCATAGAGGGAAAAATATTAATAGATTTATAGGTCAGTTTTAATTTTAAAAATTGATATTTATTTACTTATTTATATTCTTATTTTATGTCACCTGTCTCCTAGGAATGGGACCCAAAGTAGTTAAACAGAAAATTAATAACAGTTCTGGAAAAGGACAAGGTTTTATTTCATCAGTGATCACCCTAGAACTTGTTAGAGCAAGTCTGGACATAGTAGTTTAGTTATCATTTGGCCACATGTCCTATAGTACTTTGATCGATATACCCTAAAATACACCCTAAAAAGGCGGGGGAGGGATTTTAAAAAAATCTGAGTTTAAAGCAGTTAACTCTTTATTTTCAATGAAACCTTTTAAAGCTCACAGTAAATCATCAACCCATATTATTAAAAGTGCTTTGCTTTGTTCTACTTCCAAAGGGTCAAAGATTCCTGGGGGTTTCACTACGTGAATCTAGTTTGGATTGCAAAGCTAATTACAATTCCACTTAATGGCTTTGAAAAACAGAAGCTCTGGGTGTGTTTTTTCCAAGGAAGCATGCAATACTTTAGCCTCTCCAAATAAAAAATGGCAAACGAGGGAGTCCCCCATCCAATTTAATTTGAATCCAGAACAGAACACCATAAAGGGTTTATTGTACTGGAGGATAAAACTGGAGTCCTTTGTAAATGTGTATGGCCAGCATTTTACCAGCAAGATGCCGAGTTCCAAGGGGCTCTTTGTACTGAACAGACTTGAGCAGCATTGTTCCCAAAGCATTTTGTGAAGAGGATCTGATTATGACAATGGTTTTTCTGCATTTTCTGCCCTGAACTCTACTGTCTCTTGAATATATATTATTTCTACAGATGGCTTCAAGTATTTTATCTTCTATTTGTACATTTCAGTTCCTTTAAGGAATGGAGTTTATTTTCCTTAATCTTCATCATGAATCATTGCATGACAGGAAATAGATGAATGAATAGACTCGGTTATAAGTAGATATAACCAATGCTGTATATTGTCTTCCTTTTTTTTCAACAGTGCTGTAAAAAAGTATTTGTAGTAAGGTAAAATGGAAAGGAGGGCTGCAATTTTTATTTCCTGGCAGATTGTGTGAGTCTTTCATCTAATCTGATAAATTTTAATTTTATTTTGAGATTAAAATATAATCTACTACAGGGTTCAGTTGAAGTGTGTGTGTGTGTGTGTGTGTGTGTGTGTGTGTGTGTGCGTGCGTGTGCATGTGTGTGCGTGTGCGTGTGTGTGTAAACAGCATATTAGTCATGAATAAAACAACCGTGTGTTAATCTTGCCTGTTTACTAGACACTCCTGAGGTAGGAAATGGTTATTTTCCTCAAAATAAAAATGCAGATATCCTACCAGCATCCTCCATGAAGAATTTTCTTTGATGAAGTAGTCACTATGAAAAAAAGCCCAGCATTTCCCTACCTTCATATTAGATTTCACTCAAAATATATTCAGAGCAGGACCTAATCTGAAGATGTTGGAGGGTGATGTTCATTTGGGAGATGTCCCTATCATAATACCAATTGGATTCCTTTAGAACTTAAAGCTAGGACCCTGTTTAGGTATTACGTGGGTTTTTTTGGAATTTGGTTGGTGCACCCTGTCTGTCATATCTGAAATACTTGTTCTTTTCCACCTTTCCAAGGTTTTACCAGAAGAAGATGACTATGGTTTCGACATAGAAGAAAAGAACAAAGCCATTGTGGTGAAGTCTGTTCGTGGAGGGTCACATGCAGAGGTGAAACTTCCTTACATTTGTAAAAACTTCCCTTGTAACATTGCAGAGGAGAATAGTCTTTGAAATGCCCACTCAATGGGAAGGAATCCCATTCCTTTTTTAAGGCATTTGATAAGTAATTGAGACTCTTCTTTAATTACACTTGCAGTAGACTGCCTTTATGCATTGTATGTGGCATCTTGCAAAGCAATTACATTAAGTGACATGACTTCAGCCTCTCGCTCCCCACTGCCCAGTGAAACATGCTAGGCTGCAAAATGTGAAGCTAACTGCAGGAAGCTGTGTTCAGATCAGCATCAAATAACAAGTACCTTGTATTTTTCTTCTCTGCAGATCTAGTAACAGCTGGGGGGTGGCAGGGAAGATTTAAGATCAGGAAAACAGTGCAGTATGAAAGGGTCAGTGAGTTCAACCTCTCTTCCCCTGCAGCCTCTTCCCTGTTCAAATTAGCTGCAGTGTGTAGCTGCTTTGAAGTTAAAGATAAAAACCCCACTAATCCTTTTGTGACATCTTTGATGATCTGGTTGCACCCTCAAGGTAAAAGGGTTTTATTCCAGTCCAGTACTATATAGTATCACTATTAGAGCTTGCCTCTTATATATGATCATCCGTTAGTGAACTAAACAGTGCCACTCCTCATCATCATTGTCATCATCACCTAGTAGGTTTATACAAGTGCAGTAATGTAGGGTAGCCGTAAATTATAAGAGATAGGGAAGTAAGTAGGCAAAACTGTGCTCATATGCCTTGCAAAGTGGGGGTCATTTGATGATATTGGCATCATAGTTTCAGATGTGTTTCTGCATCCATGAAGCTGGAAGAGGATGGTTCAACAGCATTTTAATGTCAAGTAATTCACTACCAGTTTCTGTGGAGGCATCTATGCATTTTTGTAGTTTATAGAGTTGGGAGGAAAGAAACAGATCAAAATCAACACACACACACACACACACAGAGAGAGAGAGAGAGAGAGAGAGGAAGCAAAGATATTTAAAATTTATTTATTTATTATTTATTTATTTATTTAATTTATATGCCGCCCACTCTACCCAAAGGTCTCTGAGATGTGTTAACTCTGTTTCAGACTAACAGAAACAAAAACAACTTTTTGTTGTGATTAACAGCAATGCAACAACAACAATCTTAGAATTGCAGAGTGGGATGGGACCCTATGGATCATCAACTCCAGCCCCTCTCATGGAGACACAGTGGGGAATTGAACTCACAATCTTTGGCTCTGCAGCCAGATACTTGAGCTAGCCTGTATTTGATATATTTTATTAAATTACATCTTGGAGGCTTTCTTTTCTGTTGTGTCTTTACAATTGTATTTCAACTGTGGAAGGACACATTATAAATTGTCAATCTTTTACGTGAGTGTTTGGGGTAGATTTAAGCTGATTAGTCTTAATTTGAATTCCTTTTCATGGTACACAAGGGAGTATTGTCATAGACTCAAAGAATCATAGAATAGTGAAGTTGGAAGGAGCCTAAAAGCCCATCAGGTCCAACCTCCTGCTTGATGCAGGAATACAAATCAAAGGATACCTGCCAGGTGGCTGTCTAAGTTTATCTTGAATGCCTCCAGTGTTGGAGCACTCACCACCTCTCCAGGTAATTGGTTCCACTGTCTCATCATTTCAGCTACTGGGCAGGCTTAACTGTAAAATCTGTCTTCTAGGCTATTTGGGTGTTTGATTTTCAGAGGCTAGCAAATTTACTTTGTGGGATTGTTTTAGTCCACAAAAGTAACCTTTCCAAGTGCTGGTTTTGCCAGACCCCCTATGTTTTCTTCGTATAAGATTATGGACAAGTCGTTGTCTGCTTATGTTAGCCGAGTGTTTTATTAATATGAACTGCTTGGTAAACCATTGCCTGAGATGTAATCCCTCCATCATGTCTTTGGATAATTGCCTGTAGAATGTTTCAGTTCTGGTGAAAAAAATTGTTTATGTTATGTTTTGTACTGTTTTTAAAGGAATCTTTTTCTTCACTTTCCAAAAAAACAAACACAAAAAGACATAAAATCCCTTGCTCTCACCATCTGCCCTTCCTATTTGACCTGACAAAATTATTGCTATGAGCGAGAACCCAAATACAAATTCCAGTGTTCAGAGCCAGCAAAGCAGCTGTGGACCATTTGGAAGAAGCTCTGGTGGCCTGATGGTCTTCAGAGAGTTGGGATGGGAAAATATCGAGGATGCAGAATGAGTACAGAGTATCCCCCTGGCATGTTTTGCTTCTCCGAACGAATGAACCAGACAACACTGTCTGACTGAGGAGCTTTCAGTGGCATTAAACATGGACTGGCAGAATAAGACAATCTAGTACATGGTCGCTGATTACGGTATATACATGTAATGATTTCTTTAAAAATATATAAAAACTATAATTTCAGTTTTGGTACCGCGAGTAGTTACATCCCTATAATCATTCAAATTATGGAAATTATAGAATTTTTATGCATTTTCTTGTGTTGCTTAATCTATTATACTATTTTGTGTGATTTTCCCCCTGATCATTGCAAGTGAGAGTTAGCACTGGGCCTAGTCCAGTTACTAATCCCAATTAGATCTTTACTAATCCCATCAAAACAATTGCTGAATATAGAAAGCTTTACAGAAATATCAGTGCTTCGGTGGGACTGGCAAACAGATTTAGACCGAAAATTGCAAGTCTCAGCCAAGAAAATCTTATTCAAGATTTTGCTGGCAACTGTGAGTTCCACTGGCATTCATTTTTCTTGTCTTTCATAGCTTACATTTTAAAGGATACTTCATTAGGACTGGAAGTATGCAGTTGCTTTTATTGAAAGTTGAAATTCTTTGGAAGTGCTTGTTCTATGCAGTTACCATATTCTGCACATTATTTTACATTCCCGTGGCATATACATGGCTCTGATTCTACACAGATCTAAGAAACGTCTTTAATTCTAACTATTTTTTACTGTAAATCTGTTCATACTCTCTAAGATAGTTGTTTTGTAATATTTCTGAAGTGATAAAATAAATGCATAAAGCATTGTTTCATAATGGTGAGCGATCTGTAGAGAAGATTTCAGATGTTGTCATGGGCACTTGTAACCTGTTTACAGGCTTTTTAAGTAAGAGCCATGAAAACCTTACATGCTGGCTCTCTCTTTTTGTGTATGCTTCCAAATATATCCTTCATGAAACAACATATTATATTGGAATTGACCCCCAATAGACGTGAGCCAACTCTTTGTTCTCATCTTCAAGATCTGAACTTGTTAGAAAAAAAGTCAACATTTATATAAAATGCTGTTCTCCTAAAAACATCTGGCTGATGTAAAACGTCTGCTTTGACAAGATCTGTTCAGCTTTACTGAGTTAGTTCTGTGTTCTGTCTTTCTATTTCCTCCTGAAATCCAAAGTGTGGACAATAGATTTTTATCTGGGGCACTGTCTTTAAAATTCTCTTATTCCTTGATCCAGTGGCAACTAAAACTCCCAATCAGATGGAACAATTTCCTTTATGTCATATTATACTTGGTCTGTGCTTTCTGCCTTCAAATAATGAAACTGTTGGCCTGGTTCCTCATGTCCTACTGAAAGATTCTACAGCAAAACAGAGTTGGATAAGGACAACAGATTTTACCAGTAATCTACAAGGGATACATGTTTTGCAACTCTTTAATTACTCCACTAATTTAAACCACATGTTCTTTCTCCTCCTTTTATCCCAGCAAGGTTTCCAAAGTGATTTCTAAAAGATTAAAATGGTTAATGATTAAGCAATTAATCATTCAATATTCATTAACCAGGTGATTAACACAGTTATCCTGACATGAGGGGAGCACCCTAGTGCCCTGTTTACCATAACAGTTTCTTTGAGAAAGTAGTAGGCACTGATCTCTGTTCCCAATGTGATTGATTGTAAAAGAGAGTGGTAATGAATAATTTGAAATTAGTAGCATCCCCATTGGCATCTATATTTGATTAAATGATGGGACAAACTCATCATTCTAGGCATCACTGCCTTTGAAGGTGATAAATAATAATAATAATA